AAACTCCCATGGTGCATCATTGTCAAATGCACTTCCTGTTTTGAAGTATAGTCTAATATTATTTGTTGCACTTTTACATCAAAAATAATCTAAATAATAATATTGTTCACATACTTATGATATGCATCATAGGAGTACCTCAATGTACCATGGGAGTACCACAATGCATCATGGGAATACAACAATAGACCTAGGTTACACTTAAAGCCCCATGTCATGTGATCCCGTCGCAAGATAATCCTTGTCTATTGGTGGCATGTTTTCTGTTTGTGTATTTTGACGTTTCAATAAATTAAAATTTATGAAAATTGTTTCATAAAATCACTGCTGTAATACTCGTCCGTATGCAATTTGGATCGATGTAATCTTAAAAACGATGAAAAACAATTTGACCAAAGCTTAATGGAAGCTGTTTACAAAAGTTAGACTGAAATATACCGATCAAGCCGAACCCATTCTTTTTGAATAACTGAGAATCAAAAATTCACCATTTCTCATATGTGTAGATGCTCTAATAGAAACCACATCCCCTCTGTTGCATTCCATTTTAATAGAAGCCGCGGTTTTTAATACAGCTTTAAACAATGACCAATATTACTAAAGTTTTTAGAGGGGTGCGGTTGTCTGAAAAAATTTAGAAATTAAGTTTTTTTATCCTACATCAGTCTTTTTACATTGTTCCTAATCAGGTGAATGATGGTACTGTAAAACCATTTATTTTCACTGGCGTTTAATTTCACAATTTTTATGTTTTGAACAATTTCACTGAATTTTAATTTCACAAACTTGTCTGAGAAACAATGAGTTTATTGTTATTCTACATATTCAAGTAGATTTAATTTGGCGAATTTTACTTAACAGCAAAAATAGCAAAATTACAAATTAGTGAATAATGCCAGATAATAGTGGCCCATGACCTTTTTAGCATAAAAAACAACAACATTCATTTAATTGTTTTATTTCCGTTACTCTTGTTTGCTTGTCTTTGTCGTTTTGTATTATGTAATTAATGTTTACTGTAATGTATGTAATTAAATGAAATAAAATTGTGTAAAGAGAAAAAAACAAACAAAAAAACATTCATTTAATTATGTAACTACCGTAAAATAATGTAAAATTATTTTTGCTGGAATTCTTTTTTGCTGAAAAGACTTTTCGGATGTTTTATATTGAGTTTATTTTCACTGATTCTTGATTAGTTAAGTGTAAAATCAAGTATAAAAAGTATATTGACTGGATTTTATTTTCTTTGAATCATACCTTCAGCAAAAATAAATTCCAAGCGAAAATAAAGTATTTTACAGTAAAAGAAAATTATGTGCATTTGGTTTAAAATTATAGAAAAAAAAATAGAAAAATATATATAAACCAACAAAATGTTGCATCCAAATTCTTTTAGGAAAATTATGGTGTTTAAACACCTAACACTCACACAGTCACACACAAACAGGAGAATACATAATTAACAAAATACAAATTTTATTCATCTTAGAAGCATATTCACATTGATTTTGATACATTCTATTAATAAACTGGTATGTTTACAAATGAGGTAACCATAGAAACACCAAACAGTATGTGGTACAGGTTATAATTGGACGACAAGAGTACCCTTATTTACATAATTATGTCAACAACATTTACTTTGTGACTGTTACCTGTTAAAGGGCGGTAGTCGTCGCGCCATGCATGCGTAAGATATATGGGTCAGCTTTAATTAGGTGATTGGTCACCGGCAGTATTCAGTGCAAGTCACACCAGGGTCATACCTCATACCTCATTTGAAGAGTGCATTGGATTGTGGGAAAATCAATGTTTATCAACACAAATGTCGCACATGCTCAGCGCGATGCAATGACCACCGCTCTCTTAAATTAACTTCCACCAAGCCAACCCAACTTGATTTTGGAGATTACACTTTGACTCCAGATCACAACAAAATCAGTCTTGTTAGTGTTCACTGGTAAGGTTACGGGAACACAGAATTCATTTAATTTGATGTTACTGTAAAATGACTAATTTTCACTGGGTTTAAATTTCACTGATTTACGATTTCAGGCATATTCAGTGGGTTTTAAATTCACGGTTTCGTCATTTAGATAATGTGTTCTATGCTAAATTTTACATATTCACTGTGTTTTAATTTAGCGCATTTTTCCAGTCAGCGAAATAAGCTAAATTAAAACCCAGTGAATAATTACCCCCTTTACAGTACATGAAGATTTGGCTCACATTTATTTATTGTTTACAAAACTTAATTTAAAAGATCCGTCTAAATTAATAATCTGCAGTTAATTTCCCATTACCCATCCCCAATGTCAACATTTGATGATGTATTTTTTTAAAAGTTGATGGTACCTCACCGATTTGCAAAGTGTTAATGCAACTTTCATATACCGGTAAATGTGTGTGAATCTGACATTTTTCATTCCTTCTCCCTGTTTGCTAAACATGTTGATAATTAGGATAAGAAAAAATATTGTAGAATAGAAACCACAGCCATTTATCCTTCATGGAAGCCCTGACGGCACGAGTGAATGTGAATCTAAATTCAAAGGTAATTCTCTCCAAGGAATTCTGCATTTAAAAAGCAAAAGAATACCCTCACAGTAACGCAGGATTTTTCATTTTCTTTCCTAGATATTGGAATGGAATTTACTGTTTCTAAATATCACCTCATAAAATTTTTCCAAAGTTTGTGTTTTGTTGTTTTCGTATGTCCAGTATTTCAGAAGTTCTTGATTGACTGAACAGTTGTACCATATGACAGTATGGCTGCCTTTGTTTGACTTGCACAATCGAGTTGTACTTATTTAATGCCATTTCAATTCTGAATTACACACGGTGGTTGTACCTGTTTTTACATCAAAGCTTTTGTAAGATCGTTCATTTCCATGTACTGAGGGGCATACATAAACATTGATGTAAAGGTGTGAACGGTTTGTAATCACGAAAAGACGCAAATGT